TTTAAAGTACTTATTTATTATGTGTAACTAAAATTTACAATTATGCATAATCATGCAAGTCAAATATGCAAGTTTATATAAGCCATTTTCAGAACTCTATTTAATAATATATCCTTTGTTATTAAAATAAAATAATATGTTAAATATTGTAATAAATTATAATAGAAATTTCTTGTATAGTTAATTGTCTTTTTTTAAAATAATAATAATAATAATAATTTGCTTTCAAAATACAACAGTAAAGTAGCGTTCAAAGTAATTCTGATACTTTTGTATAAGATTTGATTAATAAATGTTATACTTTTTGTTTATTAATCCAAATATTAAAATATTAGTTTCCATTATAATAATATCATTTTTGAGAAAAATTTCTTTTTAAAATCAATAATGATTACTTCTTTAGAAAGTAGTTGATATTAATATTAGAAGAATATAATGCAAATCTTCTAAGTATAACATGATTTTAAGCAAGATTTATTTTAAAGAAAAGTCTTTATAAAGTAAAATAAATAGTTTTATATTCAGATTTCTATAGATTTTGCTTAAAATATATAGTAAGAAATCTCCTAATAAATTAGTTATTTTTTAAAAGAAAAGTAATCTAATTAATATAATAGATATTAATTATTCATGTTGAATGATGTTTAACTTTACTTCTCATTATATTTTTATTATTTCACCAAATTGCGAATGATAATCACATTTTCAATTAAAGAAGTAAAAAATAAAATTCTAGTTTTTTTTAACACATTTTAATAGTTCATTAGTAGTATTATAATGGAAAATTCCAACATCAATTAGACGATTAGCTTTATTATTAATTTCAACTATTTGATTTATAACAGTATATTTAATATCATAATCCTCCAAAAAATCTATAATAATATTAATTTCTTGATGACTAATAAGAAAATATAACTAGTTTCACTTTACAAATACTCTCTTATTTGAAACAACTTTAGGTTACCATAATTTCTTTATGTTTATGTTAAATCTAACCTTAAATTCATATTTTACCATATAAAAGTAAAATTGATTTTTTTCTGAATATTTCCTTCCTTTCTATTGTAAGATCCTATACATTATATTTTTTTATTTTATTAAAACAAAAAATTTTATTAACAATTATAATAAACTTTTTTTTTCTAATTATAGTAATATTTCTTCATAAAAAAATTTTTGGTTATTAACTATATATAAACATTAATATTAAATAATTAAATAATATAAATAATATTGCTTAATTAAAAAAAAAAAAAAAATTAAATTACAAATTGACAAAAAGAAAATTACATATATAATATAAAATGTATAAAATGCAAAAATATTAAATCTTTATTAAATATCTATAAAAAATGTAAATTAAAATTCATTAAGATAACCTTTAAGTGCTGTCCTTTTAAACCATAAATCAATTCTTAAAAAATTACTAATGATTGTTCGATTATTGCAAATATCAAAAATTACCCCAAAATTATATATTATCATTCATTTAAAGCCCAAATCCCCTCCTTCTTGAAGGCGTTCCAGGTTCTCTCTTTCCGGGTAGAATAATTCTAGAACGTTTAGGTGTTGCAATCGCTTTACGTTGCAGTTCCTTTTCCACCTCTTCCTCTTTCTCTCGATCTATTTTAATTTGCATTTCCATAGTCATCTTGGCCATTTCCGTTTTGTTGGCTGCTCGCTTTTCCTATAATAGATCATTATATGTTAGGAATCTATAACTAATATAATATATAAATATTTATGAATTATAAATATACCTTTTGCGTAAAATTCTTCTCTTTCACTGAATAAAACATGGGTCTACAGAGAAAGAAGATTATTAGATTTCAAGCTATTTAATTGTTCTAACAATGGTTTCAAATATTTATACTTACCCCATTTCTGCTAACCAATATGGGTCTACAGCAGTAACGCACTGCATATATTCTTTAGATGTCATTACTAATTCGTGATAAACAATGTAATCAGGAGTATAACCAAGGCCATATAATGCACTTGTTGGATGAAGGTGGCAAGGCATGCCAGTACGACAATTTACATATTCTCCAATTCCTTTTACTCTTGCAGCTTGATGAAAGTATGCAGAACAAATACATTTTCGCACTACATCCCAATCAGTACCACAAGAGACTATTTCCATCTTCTCTGCTTTCATAATATCCATTAATTGCGATCTCACTTCTTGAGCTTTTCTCATTGCTTTAGAATGAATAAAATGTTTTATACACCATTCATCCCGAAAACTTAAAACATAATAAATATAATTAATTAATAATCATAACAAATTCAAATAAAATAGACATGGAAACTTTACCCATGAGATTTCCATTGTGTATAGACATGTAAAAGTGTTAAATGGTCACTTTCAGGTACGAAAAATTTTTCTCTAGCTGCATCACTCTGTTCCATTCTCTCTTTAGGCCGGTAAAATACTGACGGGACAGAAAGCATAGATACAATGGTCTAGTGAAAGGAAATGTTTTAAATTGGGTATCTAAACATTTATTTTATTTGATAAATAAAAATATTTACCAATATTTCTGCCGTACATCCCAATTCCTCGGACATAATCAACATTTTTGATAATGAGGGATCTAATGGAAACTCGACCATCCTTCGACCAAGAGATGTTAACTCTCCGGTATTATCCAAAGCACCCAGAATCCATAATTGATACATTGAATTCAATATGTTATCCTGAAATCCAAAAAAAAAAGAATTTTATAATAAAAAATAAAATAAAATAAAATTAACATTATCTATCTATTATTAACGAATATTGTACCTGAGGTGGAGGGTCCATGAAATCAAAATCCAATAAATTCTTTACTCCCAAGGATTTAAGTAAAAGAACTACATTTGCAAGGTTGGTACGCTGAATTTCAGGTATTGTATTCATAAACATTTCGTGATGATAAGCTTGTTCTGTGTAGAGACGGAAACAAGTTCCTGCACCGGTACGCCCGGCTCTACCCGATCTTTGATTCGCATTTGCCTTTTTGTTTAAATTATAATTTTATCGTCAATAAATATAAAAATTCCAAAACAAATAAGAACACGAGAAATGCATACCTGACTGATTGGAGTAATTTGTAAGGAATCCATACCAATTTTTGGATTAAACACTTTAAGCTTATTATATCCTGTGTCGACGACATACATTATACCATCAACTATATAAAATAATGTTAAATATAATTACAATGCAATAAAAACTCTAATGTTCTTGTTTATTAATTACCGGTTAGAGAAGTCTCGGCAATATTAGTTGCCACGATGACTTTTCGAGCATTGTCAGCTGTCTTTTCAAAAATTCTAGCTTGCAGGTCAGCAGGCAACTGTGAATAAATTGGCAAAATTGCTAATGGGGGCGGATTATCCAATTGCTGTAGACGTTCTATGAATAATAAACTTAATTTTATTTTAATACCATTAGAAAATTGAAACAATTGAAAATTCACCTTCAATCACTTGACACGTAATCTCAATATCTTCTTGTCCAGTCATAAATACCAATATGTCACCTGCGGGATGTCCCAAGTGGATCGCCAACACTTGCTTAACAGCACTATCAACATAATCATCGCAAGGAGTTTTACTAAACATTAACTCCACAGGGAATGTACGACCAGGTATTGTAAAGGTCGGGCAATTTCCGAAAAATAGTGAAAACTAATATTTGTTAAAACTCATTAGAAATAATTTAATATAATTATAAATTATTCAAAACGTACCTTTTCAGCATTCATAGTTGCTGACGTGACGATCAACTTAATGTCCCTTCTACGAGAAAGGACTAAATCATTGATTGAAATTAGGAATACTATTTTTTACACGAAAATTACGATTACTTTTTATAACAAATACCTTGTCTTAGTAAACCCATTAAAACATCAGTCTGAAGGGAACGTTCATGAGCTTCGTCCATGATAATTGCACTATAATGGTCAAGATCAGACTCTTTAAGTGACTCACGAAGCATAACACCGTCTGTCATATCTAATATAATATGATTCCAAGGATTAAGATATATTTCAGATATGCTGAAAAAAAAAGGTGTGCACATACATTTAATTACTGTGCTTTCTGAAGTACAATCTTCGAAACGAATGGCGTAACCGACTGTGGATCCGAGTTTACACTATAAATAAATTAATATATATTAGGAAAATAGATATATATATTATTATTCACACACGAAATTATTACCTCCATCTCTTCGCTAACACGTTTAGCAACAGACATAGCAGCAACACGACGAGGTTGTGTACAACCTATAATACCATACTTGCTATATCCGTCTTCATGAAGATATTGAGTAAGTTGTGTAGTTTTCCCAGAACCTGTCTCACCAACAACTACAACAACTATCAAATAAAATCATCATAAGAATAATAAAATTGAATTAAAAATACAATTACTTTATAGTTCGTACATACCCTGATTATCCCTTATAATTCTTAGCAATTCTTCTCGAACAGCAAATGCTGGCAAAAATTCACGCTGTTCACGAAGAGTTTTTGACCTTGAAAAAATACTAACTGCTTCAGACGCTTTCAAATGAGAAGCAAATTGTGAATCACCTTTCGGATTTTCCATTTCATTTGTGCTTTGCTCTATATTGGTATTGTCAAAAATTAATTTTTAAAATTCAATTCAATTAAATATCTATAATAATATTAAATTACAAACCTGTTGAAACTTCATGACTTGGCTTAATTCCCATAATATTACCAAGCGCAGTGCCTGCAACCTCGACAACGTTTTTTGCAGCCTATTTAATGAATAAAATAGTGTAAACAAATTGTTGAATGACAACAATAAAGCATGGATAGCCAAATAATCAAAAAAAAAAAATTGATTCAAAAACCTTTTGACGTTCAATTTGCTCTCTCTTTTCTCTTACGAGCTGGCTTCCCTTTCTAGAGAAAACAGACATATCAGAAGTAGGATCCTTGACGGATTGCACAGCTTCCAATTGTTTTGTGAACACCATACGTCCATCAAGAAAAGGTGGTTTAAGGTCATGAACAAGTAAATGGACTCGGGCCTATAAAATATTTATGTTAAAAGTTTGGAAAAAAGGAGGATATAGAATTTCAGTGAATTGCATTAAACAGTAATTATTACCTCTGAGTCATCCTCAAAATCCAAATCTATTTCCCTCCGTTGCACAATACCACTCGTCAGCATTCGATTCGTTTCCCATAGCTCATTATCTTTGTTATACTGTTCCTGCCTCGCAGTCAGCTTTTTCTACATAAAAATAATTATTATTGACAAATTCATAAAACTAATATTATAATCAACCCTTTTTTTAAACAAAATAATACAAACAAGTTGCTTTTGTGCAAGTTCTTCTTCCTTTTTCTGTACAAAATCTGTATAATCTGCAAAAGGATTGTGCTCTTCATCAAGAGCCTAAATAACAAAAGAAATTTGATTATTATTTAAATAGTCGGATAAAAGTCAAATAAATATTACAACTTACTCCAGATGATTCTTCAATATTATACCACTCTCGATCCAATTGCTTTTGCTCCTCTTCCCATTCAAGTCTATCACGATCTTCGCAAATAACTTCTTCTTCTTCTTGATTGTTACGATTTCTATATTCCATTTCATCATAATCAAAAGAAACAAGGCGTGGAGTCGGAAAATCTCTAGGTGGTTTGTAATCTGCGAAATAGTCAAATTAGCATAAAAATAATTTAAAATTAAAATAACAAATAATGAAACTTACCTTTTCGAGGAGTAAGACCACCTATTGAAAATCTTGAAGTCGAAGTTGTAGGTGTGGTATCCCACTCACTACGGCTTATTCTGGAGGAACTTCTATCTGAATCTCGCCTTGAACTCACGGAAGACGATCTCTTACTTGAGCCTTCACGCCATGTCATAGAACGCTTATTTGAACCTTCACGCCACGTCATAATGTTAAAATTAGACAACGAAGAAAAATAAAAAATGACTAATTGAAATCAAATATTAATATTAGAAATTTGGATAGAAACTTGACATCTCATGATCCTTATTTCGAATAGGATCGTGAACAAAAAATTTTTTAGTAATATTATAGTTTGGGCAGTTTTATACCGAGTAATAAGGATTGATCGAGTTAAGATTTTGTGCGACAATACTAAAATCCAATGACGTTATCACGTGACAATTTGGTAGTGACTAAAAACGAGTTTTTCGCGTTGTTCATTCAGTTTAGACGTTTTAAGTTGTTCAAACTTTCAAACGGCAATGGAAATCAACAAAATTAATAATAACATTGAGTACAATTTTCCTGACCTCGACGAAGAATTAAATGATTATGAGGGTGAACCAGGAAAAATTTCTGGTATCAACTTTGACACGCTTGATTATAAGGAAAGCAAAAAAGAAAATTCTACGGAAGCCGAAAAGAAGAGTGGAAGAGTTACAAAGAAAAGACGCGTTTTACCTAAAATAGATTCCGAAAAACTAGTAGGACCAGACGGTTTAACGAAATTGAAAGAACAAGGACCAAAGTTAAAGTTCAAAGATGGTAAAAAATCAAAAAACGCGACGATTGAAAATCTTAGAACTGTTGTTAATTTTTATCGAACTTGGGCACATGCATTATGCCCTCAAATGAAATTCAAGGATGTTATATTTCAGTCTGAAAATATATGTAAAGAAAAAAGACTGAAACATTATTTGGACGTTTGGCGTGAAGAAGCTAAGAATAAACAAAGTGAAACAGATGATTATTTGTCAGGTAAAACCTTGGCGGATGATGAAGAATCAGTGTTTTGGCAGACACCTTCTCAATCAGCTTCTCAGGGTAAAAGAAACAAGAGATTTTCAAGCTTCGAAGATAAACTAAAAGAAGGTTCGGCAGGCCAATATCGCGAAGAGGAATCAGATGACGATGAACTAACGTTGGTGAATCAATCCCATGATGAACTATTTGAATTATTTGATGCAGCTATACCCGGAAGGAATTTATAAACATGGTAAATTAAAAAAATTTCTAAAAGAGATGTGATTTGTTATTTCGAGTTACTGTATTTAGTGTAGTCAGTCACAAAAAAATTAAATCTGCGTTAATCAATGATTTTATAAATTTTTTTCAGAGAAAAAAAATATAAATTTCTTTATCTTTTCTTTTCTTTTGTAAGTTGAATAATTTATCGTTTAGGTTTCGATTATTATTAGTATGGTGCTAGAACCAAAATGTACAGATTTAAAGGAATGCTTTGTGCAAACCTAAATCGAATGTTGTAATTATTTATAATTAATTTACCCGAAACATTTTCATAATAAACTTGCCATCAAAATTCTTTGGCAGTTTTAAATGACGGCATTTTTCCTAAACAATTGGCTAAAATTCAAATCGAATTTTTTCAAAAACTTTATTTTACATTATTTAATAACTTTCTAGAGTTCCTCTACTATCAATTACAGCTATAACTCTCCGAAGCATATTATTTACCAAAATTTTCAAAATATCAACTTCCGTTTGTAATCACTTTTCCTCAAAAATTACAATAAATTCTTTCTTGTTTTTTTGATAGGGGTTCATGCCCATATAAAATCGGGCCTTTGAGCAGGCATGGAAGAGAAGATATCAAATTTTCTTTTTCCTTACAAGTACTGCATTTGCTTTATATACAGAAGTATTATCATCTTGCTTTATAAAAGGTAATAAAAGAATCTCCAACATATTTTTATATACTATTCCTATCTAGTATTATTAAAGAACCAAGCTTACTTTTAGTAAACAATCTTAAATCTCATTACCAAACTTTACTATAAGAACCAAGTAGTCTAAATCATATTTTTTATTGGATTAGCACAAACTTATTATTATTCATCATTTTGAAATAAAAAAAAAAATCAGAATTTAATGCTCCAAATAATATTATCATATTTTTATTTTAAAATTTTATACTTTTGATATCATTTTAAATGTTTTTTTATTTCTTTAAGAAATTTTTTTTTAATTAAATAAATAAGCATTTATTCTTTATGTTTTATTAAAAAATGATCTTTAAATTGATAATAATAAACTTTTATTAATTTACTAAAGATTTATAGTAAAAAATAATATTTATATATTATATATTATATAGGACTTTTACAATAAAAAGAAAGAAACAGCTGGAAAAAATCAATTTTACTTTTATATGCTAAATATGATTTTTAGATCAAAATTTGTTCAGATTTACCACTAACTCATTTTTATTTTTTTCAACTGTTTCTCCCTTTACTATTGCAAAGAGTTTATATATTCTAAATATGTTATCTTTCTAATATATAATTTTTTAAAAAAAATAAAAGAAAGTTATTTAACATTTAAATATATAATTCTAAATATGTATTTAATATTTAAATAAATAAATATATATATATATATATATTATTTTTATAAATATATAATATTTTATTAAATGATTTTATAATATCTTAAATTTATAGAAAGAATCAAATATAATTTAATTATTTAATTAATAATTATTTATTACAATATCAGAACTAAATGTCAGTATTCTACTATTAAAAATTCTTGAATAGCAAAAGCTTTAATAGAATTAACTATGATACTAATTCCGCATAATGTAATATTTATCTATTATTTAAACTTATTATTATTATTTTTTTTAAAAAAAAAATTAATAATTAATTTTTTTAAATAATTTTTTTTTTAATAATTAATGATAAGATTATTTTAATTTAATAAAAATATTATTTTTATTAAGAAAATTTTTTTGACAAAATCTTTTTTATATATAGTATTTTCAAATAAATTAAATATTTATACTTTTATACTTTTTATGATTAAATTTATCTTAATTTATTTTTTTTATTAATTTAATATATATTAAATTTTTAGAGATTATTAAAATAATAAATATATAAATTAGATGCTTTAGTTTTGATCTCTTCAATAATAAAAAAAAGTAGTTTATCTGATAGTTATACTAATATAAATGATAATTATAAATTTATTATTATATTATATTTTTTATTGCATCACACATATCATAATAATTGGCTAAATTTATAAAGAAAAGGTTTTATAGATATTCATTTAAAGGTTATTTCTTAATGTTATATTATATATATATATATTATATAATTTTTTGTAAATATATTTATTCTATATTTTCTTAACTATTTCATTTATAAAACTATAAAAGAGTGCAAGCTCATTAATGATTTTATATTAAAAAATCTTATTAATAAGTATCATAAGAAAGTTGCCTTGTCATTATTATCGAAGTCCGACATTATCTCGAACAACACGCATTTAATGGTGCTTAGAATCTTTGCTTGATAGGGCCGTTTGTATATAGTAATTAACTATTCATATATTAATAATCGATTCAGAAAGTATAGAATTATTTATAAAATAACACTTTGAATTCGAAACTATATGACATTTACAAAGGAAACGAGATTTTTCTGTTACTGCGGCAACGTACACGTGAGCTTGAATTATAAATAAGGAACTTTTAATTTTTTTCGATACAAAAAAAGAAAGAAATGGATATAAATACGATATTGACACGTCCAATACGAGTATTTTCTTTACCACCTGAAATTTTATTAGTTATCACTTCAAGAAAAAAATTCGTAAAATCCTCAGCGAAATTATTATCAGAACCAGAAATAACAAATAAAGTGAAAGAAAACGTTTTTACTAAACAAAATGAAGATAATACAAGACCTACATGTCTTGTTTGTGGAATAACATCTTTTGAAAATGTAGAACAGCAAAGAACTCATTATAAACTAGATTGGCATAGGTTTAACGTAAAAAGACGTACTGTTAGCTTAGAACTTGGTAAAAAGCAATATAAACCAACTACTGAAGAAGAATTTGAAGAATTAATGGGTGGTAAGACACAAGAAAGGATTATTATTATTATTATTATTATTATTATTATTATTACTTTTTTATTTTTGTTAACCATTTTTTTTTTCCTAAAAAAAAATTTATTTATAGATAGTATATCAAGTATTTCAGGATCCGGGACGGATTGTTCTGAAACAACAGAGGATGATGTAGCAACTCTTGTTAATGAATTGAAAGAAACTACTTTAGATGATGACGAATTGACTGAAAAACAAAATAAGAATTCAGAACCAATCTCATGGTTTGTTTGTCCTACTTTATTTCCAACTTCAATTAATTTAGGTATATATAAGAATATTCTTAATAATTTTGGAGACAAAGATATTGATGATATTTACAAGTTACAAGTGAAATCTAACGAAAGACAAAATCCAAGGTTATGGACAATGATAATGATTGGAGGTGGTCATTTTGCAGCATTGATTTTGGATGTTACAAAGAATTCAAACGTGATACATGCTAAAGAAGTTAAAGCGATAGTTCATAAAACTTTTCATCGATATACAAGTGAGAAATCATTTTATTTATTTATATTTTAAAAATTAATATAAGAACTTTTATATAATACTACTTTTAATAATTTAACTTAATAATAATTAAGCACGCAGAAAGCAAGGTGGAAGTCAGGCTAGCAATGATAATGCAAAAGGAAAGGCCAAATCTGCAGGTGCAGATTTAAGAAGATATAATGAAGCAGTTTTACAAAAAGATATTCGTGCTCTTATTGATCAGTGGAAATCAATGATTGAAGAAAGTGAGCTTATTTTTGTTCATTCTCCTAGTGCTAACAAAAATATTATATATAATTACGAAGAAGCAGTTTTAAAGAAAGGTTTGTTTGAAGCATGCTTGGAAATTTATTCTAGTTGAAAATTCGATAATTTAATTTAATTTATTTTTAATTTGTTCGAATAGACGACAAAAGAATTAGGAGTTTCCCTTTTTCCACTAAACGTCCGGTTTGTGAATTATTCGTTATTTCAATTTAAAAAGTTTTTCACCCTTTTCTAATTTCTTTTAATTTCTAGACTTTTACCGAGCTAA